GTACCAAGGGACTCTGTTTTGAGGTCCTTCAACATAGAATATCCGTCACCACCACTCTGCATGAAATCAGGTAGGAGTACATTATAAGTTTGGTTGTTTTGTAGTTTGCTGTATGTCGGAACATTGCAAAACGAACACAATACTTCTACCGAGACTACCCTTGAATTTTTTGGACGAGATAAGTCATAAACGACCTAAAAATTTAAGTACGATAAAATAATGAACTATATGTTATAAAAAGCGAAGTACTACTTCGTAAAGACTAACTTAATCACTTTTGTGTAGTGATCATAAATATGTTTTAAAAATGAAAATATAAAAGGTAGAAATCTTAACTTTTATTTAAACATTTTTTATATTTTCACTTTCATTGCTTAATATTTATAGACAATTTAATACCTGAAGTCCAGAGAATTGCACAAATGCTCCAAAGAGATTATCGGTATGATTCATGTCCAGGTTGTAAATGCTCCATTCTAATACAGATAAGATCATCTCACTAGTCATTGAAACTTTTACGATTGTATTTTGAAAAGGTAGCATGCTAAGAACATCCTCCATAGTAACTTTATCTTCATTAGCTCTTGTGATGGAACTTCTAATACTGCCACCATTCTGGAAAGCTATTGCATCTGTCCAACTATTTTCGTTTGCATATTCACCAGCATTATAATCAATCAGCGTCCGTAATTAAATTGTCCAAGTTACATTCCTTTCGTCTACAAATTTTACTGTCTCCTTCGAGAAGAACCCGAGTTTCTCCAACGATCGATAGGCTAATATTATCGACAGCTCCTCGCATCTCTTTTAATTCGTTTAAAATATCTTCTGCCTATTACGAAATAGAAAGAAAGAATTATATATTAATTCGATCAATACAATTTGTTATTTGTCGATTGTTACACATTACCGAAACTTTACAGGATTAATTTTTGTACGTCGGGGAATTGCGCTCATATTACTTTATGATATTTAAGCAACGATAAATAGCAGTTAATACGATTTATTAATTAATTAATCTTGCTATATCATTATCAGATAGATCTTTGATAGCCTAACATTCAGTTAAGTATCGTGACACGTTTAGAGGAACATGGTCGATATTTTCTATTATAACATTCCATATTCGTTCTGATTTTTCTTAGCGCTAGTCTTAGCGATGCAATTGCTACGGATGTTACTGAACTTTTAACCATACTCTACCTCTTCGATACTGCTGTCCACGAGTATAGCATCACCATTGATACGGTTCACTTTGTCCTCACGGTCGAAAGTCACCGTCAAATTACCAAGATACTTCGTGTAAGCGTAAGCTTGCACTACGTAGACCTTCCTTCCGCTCTTTTGCTATACTTCCGTTAGATAGAGGCCCTCTGGTATCTCTTCGTCCGGTTGTTTCCCGTTATAAAGGAAGGTGTTTGTGTGTCCACCGATCACTATGTCTATATCTTCCACTTCTCTAGCGATCTTTTTGTCCACCTCGAAGCCAGAATGA